CAGCAAAATACAAATATAAGTTAAGTTGGGACATCCAAAATTCTACCCTAAAAATATGCAGTAATAATATCGAATCTAAAATGATAATATCTCATCTTTACCTGTTGCTTTGAAATAGCAGCTAATTCAAATTATACAGCAAGATTTAAATAATCACCATTTCTAAAAGCCGGGATGGTTAGGTTAGGCTACAGAGCGCTAAAAGCAAAATCAGTCGACAGCACAGAAAGTTGACAGAAGCGATGTTGACAGCGCCTCCACAGAGCGATAACAGGGTTGTGTCAAACGATAACAGGGTTGTTGACTAGAGAACGTAAAAATTCGTCAAATAAATTATCCGGCCGGAACGATAGGGAATCCGGTGATGATATGCCAGACATCATATATCATAATCAAAGACATGTAACGAACTAAAAACGTTACAGGTTTATATGAAATTTTATTTCTAAATGCCTAATTGCAAAATTTAAACTTAGTGCCGCTAGAACAAAATTAATCATTTTGAAAATGTTCATTACACATATTTTTGGAATGGTCTGAACATATATTTTGAACATAATATGGTCTGAACAACTAAAATATATTTGTTTTTTGTGTCTATTTTTTTACCTAGGGCATATATGTATAGGTCAAGCCGTATAGGCCCACCCGAGGATGCATTGTTTATAATATACCTGCAACAAATTATTATTATATTGAATTTTCAAGTCTATTATATTTTTAAATATTGCCTCCAGGAATACACGTAGGCCCATTGGAGTATGTATAAAGCAATCAAAGATATTTAAATTTAAAATTTACTTTGCGCCTGTCGAGTACTTAAGGATTAACAAATACCTATATCCATAGTAAAGCGATGGGTATCATACAATATTATATTATGACTTTGTGTGAATTTAAAGTTTAATCTAGTAGCTATAGGCTCTATCAGTCTTTATAATGTTCTGATATGTTTTTTTTTTTTGGAAAATGTCTCTAAAGTATTCGATTGCATAAAATTTCTACGGCTATCTCTTCTTTGTCTATTTATTCCATTGTTGTCGGCTTGATAACAGATGACAGTTATTTATTTTACGTCAACGCTTCGGTCGATTTAAAGTCGGTTCTCCATCAGGGACATCGGTCATCTGGAATCAACGCGCACAGTCTCCGATGAGCGATTAATACTGAAAAAAGGTGTCGGCTATCAAAATCCGCTATACATAAAGTTATATTATATTTTATATTTGCTGCAGAATTTTTTCTAGAAGCATAATGATCCAATAAAGATAAAGAAATCTATTACTTGTCTATATTTTATAAATTTATGACCAAAATTAATATTATTTTCAATATTTTATACTTTAAAAATTTAGATTGAGGTAAATGTGTTTTATCTTGGTTTCATATGTATTTTATCTGTTTCTTGGCTGTTTTCTGGACGCGACGCAAACGCGACGCGACGCTCGACGCTGTCAGCCTGAATTTACCTTAAGACAATAATGTTATCTTTGATCTTATATAAATAAAATGAATTTATATATATATATATATATATCGCTGAATCCTATATACGAGTAAAGAATGTTGAAACAGATGGCTCATGCAACATTAAAGTTTCATGTAGTAAAATATGAAGTCTTACTTTTAATATGTGCTCAATAATCTAAATAACTAAAACAGTCGGGTTGGTTATATAAATATCATTTATAACTGAAGAACAGATGCATCGATTTTAATGAACTCTGATTTGCTAGGATAGGAATAACTAGAATAAATATTAAAATAAGAGAAAAAATCAGGTTATGCAGAAAGTTAATTTTTAATAAAAAAAATTAGGTTTGGTCCGCCATCTTCCGCAACTGACATACTAAAATATGTTAATAGAGGCCCATACTAATATATGTTAATAAAAGTTGGTAGGCAGTTCTTTTAGTTTGAAAGTAAAGGAATTTTTCCAATTTTTTTATCTCAAAAACGGCGACTTTGACTGATTTTGGATGTTATTACAAATTTTGTTGCAAATATTATTCCTAATCTTAAATTGAAAACCGCGTTTTGCTAGCTACTGTAATTTTGGAGTTACGGTTTTTTAAAAATTTTAACCCCCTCCCATACCCCCTTACCAACCCCCCATCCCCACCAAAAACTAATGGCCAGATTCTCGGGTGCCACAGTATGTTTGTGCCAAATTTCCAGACGGACAGACAGACGGACAGACAGACAGACACCATTAAAATATTTTGTATTTAGGTCATTTATGACCCAAATAACTCATTTTGAGTGAAATTAAAAAAACTTTTTTTGCAGATCTTAATATTCTACCATACCTATTGGTATGGTCGGCTAAAAATATTTTAAAAGTAAAATCGCCAATAATTTTACATTTTTAACAAAAATCTTTTTAAAAGAAAGCGTAAGGATTCAGATCGAGCGAAGATTTTTTGTTAAGGCTTTAAAGTATAAATCCCGACCAAAAAGGGAATAAAAAATACGGAATTATCTTTCTGGCCTTTCTCACGTTTCCTTCCTCCTTTTTTCTTTCGATCGCACGAAAGGAACACGAATAAAAACTTAAGAACCACAGAAGCGACATTCCGCTTCCCCTTAATCCTCGGAAAATTGGTCGCAAAAGGCGGCATCTCCTTGTGCTGGACGCACGATAAAGCAAAACCAATTAGTAATCTTCGTAGCAGTAAAATGGGAAAAAAACAGAGGATAAAAGAAGAAAAGTCTAATCTGGCAGCTATAGGCTATATCTGTCTTTATGCTATTATGTTTTTCATTTGGAAAAAATCTCTAAAGTCTTGGATTGTCTAAAACTAACTCAGCAACTTTTGTTTACTGTTTAAACAAATATATACAAAATTGAGCCAGAGGGTTAAATTAAAGAGTAAATAAAATTAATTTTAACTTTTGTACTGCAAGCTTTTTTTATAGTTATACACTCACCGGCAAGAGAAAAACGGACACCTTAAAATGTTGATGTTATTTAAAGTTTAATATATTTTGTTCTAGTGAGCCGATTTTGATGATTTTTTAAGCAATATGCAGCTAAATTATTTGACTTTTCATACGAAGGTTTGCTGGACGTCTAGCATATGAACTTGTCTCGAGGAAGCAACTGCACTGTACCTTGTACACACCTAAATATGTTAGCGAGATAATTATAATCTCTGTCATCTTCAATTAAAGCAACTATAGCGGATACAACTTGGAAACTTGTCGAAAAAA